TCTCTCTCTCTTTCTCTCTCTCTCTCTCTCTCTCGTTACAGAACGTGTGTAAGTGAACGTTCATGAATGTGCGCAGACTTCCGTATGCATGTTATCCTGTGTCTTGGTGTGAAAGCAAATCGGTGACAGGGGGGTTTACCAGTATATGTACATCCGTTTTTAACCCGGGAAGACGTTTTACTATTCTTGAGATTGTTGAAAACGATAAAAATGAGCGATTTACAACATTTTAAACAATGGACATGATTCCATGGAGGTTTTGATTCAGTGAAAGGAATATGAATAAAATATTGATCTATAGTCAATTGAAATCACTCTCCACCTTTACAATCTGGTCTAATTGCTCTATTATCTAAGTGGCCACTGGTCTGCCTGACATTATGTCCATTACTATGTTTGAAGAGGTCTCTTACAACTTCCCCACGTATCAGCACTCAATCCTAAGCACATTCCTTTTTGGTAATGGTTTTTCTTTCTCTAACTTAAGCCTGGGCGGGGAAAAAACATTCCCTGACTTTCTTTCTATTAAAGTAATGCTTTGTATTGGGACGTGGATAATTTGATAACTCTGTTTATTATTCTCATATTAAATGAATTCCATGGGACAGGTTAAGGTTTTCAGTGATAAGGGAGATGGGATCGTATTCGTTTGCGTAATCTTGATCAAGGGCAAGTTGTCTACTAACTTTCCAGGAAGACTGTGATTAACCCACCTGTCTGTCTCTGTTTATTTTGAAAATAATTTATCCACGTGTACCCGGGTGGGGCTGTGGACCAAGTTAAATCTTCGGCCCCACTGACTACAACAGTCGGCCACCATTGTCCAAGGTACTGAAAAGATTGACATTTGGTCACTTTCAGTTAACGCGGACGTTTCAGTTGTTGTTTTGGTGCGCCGGTATACAAAGAAGCCAAAACTTAACAAAATCTTAATTAAATCATTTTACAATAATATTTTTTCAGTGTATATACATGCATTTTAGATCGATCTATCCCTGTGGGGAGTCTCACTAGATTACTGTCAGCTTGGCCGGCTTAAGCGTCTGTCCCGCCTACTAAAAGCTGTAAGGGGGTAATTAACTATGGTGCCCGCTCGGCTGACTGCAATTTAGCGTGAACCCCCAGGGAGTTAGGTCGATCTAAATCTTAATCTTTAGATCGATCTAAATCTCTGGGAAAGCACCCTTAGACGGAGAGGGGTGTGTTTACACTGAGCGCACCCCTCTTGGATCGTTCACAGCTGGTTAACGAAGTACTATAAAGAGAGCTGTGAACATATGTAACTGCTCGGTTTAGTTACGTAGAGCGTATAGGACCTAGAGCTATTTACTGAATTCAAGATGCAGCTGGTGGCACTGTTTGCATTTGGTTTGTTCTTAATTGGTTATGAAGAAGGTTAGTTTATCGTTTTACTTCTTTTAACAGTAAATAGTCACAGGATATATTGAAAATAATTTCTATCTGTGAAAATTTTTCTGTGCTTACCATTTCTTTGCGTTCTCAGAAAAAAAATCATCAACAAAAAACTTCAAACTTTCAAGCTACCAAATTTCCTGTCTGCATTACTTAGTGCAACAATGGGGTTAGAGCAAATTTACACTAGAATTCTCGATTGATTAAAATGTATTTTTAACAGTTTCAGCGGCGGTGAATGTAAATTCAATGGCTTCTGCAATTAATAACAAACTATCCAGTCTCCTGGCTCCCAGGTTCAAGTCATTGTCTGCGTTCAGTAAATCCGCTCGGATGGTTAAGCCCAAGATTGACTTTGTGATGTTGTTAGACAGCAGTGGAAGCGTAAAGGAGAGGTACTTTGAATACGAGAAACAAGCAGCGCAGGTAATGAATTCAGAAAAATAGTAATTATAATAAAAATGATGATAATAACCGGTATTTTATTCTAAAGTGAAATTACTGCTCTTAATTTTATTTTAACTTAAATAGAACATCCACAACCTATGCCTTAATATTCATATTAATAGAAACTAAATTAATGATGTTTTTGTTGTGTAAATATATGGCAAAATATTCCACTGATATAGACATGTATATTTTTAAAAGGCAGCCGTCCGTCAAAGACAAACATTTCAAATGCTAGAATCATATGCCGGTGAAGCTAAACACATAGCTAAACGTGTAACACAGCCAACGTGTCTAGCTTTTTCGTCTGTGAAACGCTTGAAAAGCTATACGTGCTTAGCTTTTACGCATATTTCTAAATGCGTATAGGTGCCTTACTTGTGTTGTATGTATTTAAATGCTAAACCCTGTTTTTACAGTGTACATGTATTCATTTTTATTCCTACTTAGATATTCCTTATATAGTGAAATACAATTTAGTCTTTCATGTATAAGAGTTCAGAAGCTTGGATTTTGAGCCCGTTTCGTCATTGTTTCAGATACTTGTTGACTACATCCATAACAAAGCACCTATTGGATATCGTAAATCACGAGTGGCCCTGATAGAGTACTCCGTGTCAGCTCACTTTGAATTTAGATTACATACGTATAGCACTCCCTCAGCGATCAATAGAAGGATTCGACAAGTGAAATTCGACAATGGTACAACTGTTAAGATTTATAATATTTTAGCTATGATCAATGTTATTTTGTACAATTTATAGTAGGTGTAATACTATGATTTATCAATTTATTCTCTTATTTTCAATGTCCCCTATTTATTGAGTAAATTTTATTTTTAATGGCTAACGAGAAATAGTTCCTTCTTTGACAACTTAGATTAATATGAGATTTAACTTACGGTTTGTTTTGTTTCTTTTTTACTTTTCAAATGGTATGACTGTTACATTAATTCCCTTCTTATAATACTTCTTAAACTTATAATACTTTTTAATGATATGTTTTAAGGTGGACGCACGGCAACTGGACCTGCCCTGTCTAAAGCTAAGACAGAATTACAAGTTAACGGCCGCTCTGGCAACGTGAAATTGGTATGGCTAATTACTGATGGCTATTCCAATTCTGGCGGGAACCCCAAGATACCGGCTGATCAACTTCGAGCGATGGGTAGGTGCAAGCCTTGACTTTCATTTCATTTATTCATTATACTGTAAAATGCGCTACGTTGTACAAATAAACTGCTCAAACTACTTAATACACATATTCTCTCATGCTTGCCGAAACTAAAAGCTTTAAAAAGGAATATCAATTCTGGGAAGTACGAGAGAATATATGCATAATCTGGAAAAAGTATTATTAAATTGTAATTTACGTGGATGAAAAGGGCATTTAGGGAAAAATAGCTATAGTCATTTGATTTTACTATTTGCATTTCATTCAGTGTATATCTAATGATTTTATATTTTTCTATTTTTTTTTTATTTTGATGCAGGTGCCACCGTGTGTGTGATGGGCGTAGGTTCGTCCGTTAAATGGTCCGAGGTGAAACAAATTGCAAATCGCGACTGCATATTTAGAGCGGATTCGTTTGCCGAGACTCGCACCATTATGAGAAAGGCGTACAGCTTGAGTCTGGGTACCAGAACACCGAGACTGCCCGACAATTTCTTCAGCGGACTTGTTATTTAGGTCTGATCACGATTTGAATGATACTGATATATCTTTTCTTTGACACATGTATTCTATAAATATAAGCCGCTTACCTGTTTTAATGTAGAAGCAGTAATTGGTTATGACATAGCTTAAAGGACTTTCAGTTCCATGATCAACTAATTAGACTGACACTGACTCCCGGGCAACATTCGATTTTACGCAGAAATAGTTACCTGTTCCACATGATGTCCATGGCACTGTCACTTGCAAACTATTCTTGCCTATTTTAAACGGAGACTAAACGAACGGGACCCGTAACCTGAATCCGTTTGCCAACAAATGTTTCTTGTGATAAAAATGGTAGCCCTCTAGGAACCGTAGCCCGTTCCCCCTTACATTGCACGGGTGACATTCGTCCCATTTACTAACACAAATACTCTGAGTAACCCTAACCCTAAACATATAGGCCCCCGCACTTCCATTCCTTGGACTACCATTCCTGTCACACCGCCACATATAACTAGTTGCTTTCAAGCTAAGGCCCATTAAATTAAACTTAGATGATCTTTCCTAGTTCCGATGCAGAAATTAAAAAATTCTCAGCTCTCGGATGACCACATTGCCATCTTGCTGTAAGCCGAAAGATTGTTGGTTATCTGTGCCCTTTTATCAATTCATCACTTTTTGTTGCATAGTAATTGCTGCCATAGGATCTCCCCAATGGCCTTGCTATATTTATGAATAACGCTTTCCAAATCTGACAGTGTCTTTGTATTGTTCAAATCGTACGAAATTAAATCATGTGAATGAAAATTGTCTTTCAGATGTTTTGTTTAATCTGATTCATTTACAGTGGATTTAAACCACATTGTTATGTGATCAACAATTGATGATTTTAACACCCTTGACTTCATGACATGATAATCGCAGTAGATATAATCTATGTTTCTTAGAAAATGTAAACCTCTCCCGTTGAAGATTTTGTCCTTAATCAGAATCTTTGTAAATCAGATGGGAATGTCTGAGACCATGTAAGGACGAAGAAAGTTGCCTATTTTTATAAATAAATTCTTCAGCCGCCATATACGCAAGAAACAATGCAATTTTCTCTGCTTGTGATCTGCGATAAAAGACAGATCCCAATATCTTTACCTCCCCCCCCCCCCCCCCCGCGCCATGCCTTCTTCTTTGGAAAATATGTCTTTAAAATTTCAAAATTAGCATTTTCCAGTAATGAAGATATGAAAAATGTTTTGTGGTCTGGATTCCGTTCTTTTATCGATTAAGAAGGGAAATGAAGAAGCTGCAATTTTTTTTCGGAAAAGAGAATACTCATAATTTATCTAGTTCGGCACTGATTGTAGTATTGGCTTTGGTCTTCGCGATCGCAGCATCTACTAGTATTTACCGCGGCTGCATGCTAAGCACTGTTTTATATCACCAACAATAATAGCAAAAAAAACCTCAATTAAATGGAGATCTAAGAAATAAAACTAATTAAAATCTTCCTTCCTTTCATGGATGGTTTCACTGGCAATTTATTAAAAAATATGCATAGAATAAGAGGGTGAATTATACTTTCGTTTGAAAATGTAAGAAAGGCCTTGACCTTGACACTAAGAGTATGTGATTAACTTAAACTTGAGCATACGTTTATCTACGTGACATCTTTTCTTGAGAAATTCAATGATTATGAGTATAAACAAAGTGATCAAATTCAAGCATTTCAAATTTCAATTACAGAAAAGCAGAATTCAATAATAAATAATTGCGATGCAAACCATGTGCTTAAAATTATAACGTAACAGTTGGCCTAAAGATAAGATGTAAAAGACCTTTACCACATACATGTAAATGCATATTCGGACATGGTTTTCAGATGTTCAGGAAAATCAGTGACCACTTAGAAGAAGTCACCGATGCGAAGAAACATATTGTATCCTTGCCTTAGCTCAAAGTTTTCAAAATTCACATTACACGTGTGCCTCATAATTTAGGTTGGATTATCCTATATCTATGTCTGATAATACAAAAAGTTACTACAATCAGAATTTTGTTCTAGGCAATTGTGCTAGCTGTGCTGTTATTCGACTGCTTTAAATAATTCCATTTAATTTTTTTATTTTCAATTTTTGCATGAAAAATTACAAACCATGATAAAGAAGTATGTGGTAACAGTATTTTAGACTGATAAAAAAGTGTATAGCATTATGGCAATTCACTGATGATTTAAAAAAAATTGAGACACTTATCAGTAATGCATGCAAACATAAAAAAGTACCTGACAATGTAAGGTCTTAACAAAGTTATATGTCAGCACTATTATTCCATAGTCTGAAATGGGTTTAAAAAGAAAACACGGATGCGATCCCCAGCTAATATCCCGGTAAAATTTTAATGGACTTAAGTTCGTGATGAGAGAGTAAAAAATCATAAGGTTCTTTTGTCAGAGTCTTGTAAAAGGGTTCAATTTGTCAATTTCTTAAAGTAAAGCACAAAGAACAGAAACTGAAAAAATGAGGAAGGATATGGAGAAGGGGGGATGAAAATTAGAGGGATTTGAAGATACGAGACTATGGGAGACAGCCGTGTATTATAGAAGATGGAGCGGTAGATTGTGGATTTATAAAACAGCTTTAAAGAAATAATCCTGGGTTTTGGATACGTTCTAGCAGCACTCACACAACAACCAACCAAAAACATTTACTGAAAATATCAAACTGACGTGATCAGCTGTATTTATTGTTATTCGTTATCAATATTTGATTTACATAAATAAAAAATACATGCTACTTTAAATCTATTTTTGTAATGAGAGTCGCTCATCTGAAAGGGAGTGTTTCATGTACAAAAAAGTAGACCAGCAATTTTTTTTCATCTTAAACATCGAATGACGTCACTGAACCGATTACATGTATATGACCATCATAAAACTGACAACCTCACATTTTCTGGAATGGACGTGCCAGAGAGCTGTGGTAATCGTTGACTAACTTCTTCTCGTCGGCATGTTCTCTTAATTCCCTTTAGTAATACACCCGCTATAATTTTAAGGAAACTTTCATGACAATTTAAATTAACAGTGGCTTCGTGAGCCGTTACGCGCTCCCTTCTGTGATGAACGCCAAACCTTAAAGTCGTATCGCCAAGGGTGACTTTTAAGTCACCTATCCATTTCAAGATAAGTAATAGACATAGATCTAACTGTATCATATGTCAAGAATAAGAATATCCATAACAAAGCAAAATTAAAATTTAAGGCCACTGAAAAAGTTTTTGCTCAAACGCGGTGGCTGAGCCCCCAAACTCATCGAGTATGCTTTTCTCAAAATGGTGCGAGCTTGCAAAAATGAATCGGCTCTAAACTTGCAGTCGTGATTAGCAATTTGGTTTATTTCTGCCCAGTTGATAGACGATCCTACGCCCAGCACACACACTGTAGTACCTGCAATGAAACAAATGGAACATTAGACTGTTATTTACTTCTATTTCTACATAACAAATAAATATATATTGTTCAATATGTTGGATTTATACATTTTACAGCAGAATTGCAATTTAAGGGATAACGTTGAATATAAGTAAGATGCTTGCTTGAAAAAGCACTTTGTGCAAAGTGAGAATGATATTGCATTTCACTGAAAATATTGGGTTAAAAAAGTTTTGTTTGGTCTTACCCATGGCTCTCAGTTGATCAGCCGGTATTTTGGGGTTCCCACCATAATTGGAATAGCCATCAGTAAACAGCCATACCAATTTTACATTGTCAGGGCGGCTATTTGCTTGTAGTTCCTTTTTAGCTTTATATAGAGCAGGCCCAGTTGCTGTGCGCCAACCTTAAAATACATTTAAATATTGCATGTAGAATTTTTAACACACGTGTATTTAAAGTTGTCACAGAAAACCAGATGTACCATGAAAATCTGACTCTCCCCAAAATATGACTCCCCCGTCAGATTTTCATTATGAAAATGTGATTCCCAGGTCAAATTTTCATAATGAAAATGTGACTCCCCCAATGAAATTTTGACTCCCCCACAAAACTTATTAAATCTCATTTTATTGGGTATGTGACTTTTATATTGTAGTATGCATAATGGAGGATACATTGGCATTTTTCTTAGTTTACAGGTGAAAATTCTCATGAGAAAATAAGAAAATTAAAAATGTGTATTTTACCACCCAGTGACTCCCCTATGGAAAAGGTATTTATTTGATATTTGGTGAGCATTTCAAGATCTTTCCTTTAAGTATGCTATATGAAGAATATATTGGAAATATCTGAAAGTTTGGTAGTAAAATATTGGGTGCAAAAAATGAAGAAAAAAAATCCTGAAATAATCTTCATATTCATACCCATGTAATTTGGACTCCCATGAAAAAAGACCCTATTTTATGTTTAGTCATCATACCATTGTTTTCCACATGGTTTGCATTGTGATGTATATTTTGTTAGTATTTGAATGTTTGGTGGTGAAGATTTTGAAACAAGTATTCATCTTGCTACCTGTAGGATTTGGACTCCCATAGCCTTTTCATAGGAGTAATTGGGTGGGAAAATATTTTTAATTTCTCATTTCTCATGAAAATTTCCACCTACAAACTAACAAGAAGTGCCAATGTATCCTCCATTGGGGGCGTCTCGATAGTCCGAAGGTTCATTGGTCCGAAAAGTGGTAACATTTTCGCCGATTTTTTAATCAAGGGTTCATTGGTCAGAAGGTTCTATAGTGAACATTCGGACCAATGAACCTTCGGACAATTGAACCTTCGGACTATTGCTATGGCCCCCCTCCATTATGCAAAATACAAGATAAAAGTTATATACCCAATTAAAATAAGATTTATAAAGTTTTGTGAGGGGGAGTCAAAATTTCATGGGGGGAGTCAGATTTTCATGGTATATCGTTCATACTTAGATACTCGTATACAATTCGTTGAAAAAAAAGAGGAAATGGATAAACAGCTGAATCCACAAACAGATAATAATTAATCAAATAAATAAATAAACAATTAAATGGATAAGATTATCAAAATGTGTAAGGCAGCTTAAGTATTGTAAGTGACCTAAGTATCATGTTAAACCGGTTAACACTCATACCGTTGTCAAATTTGACCAGTCGAATCCTGTTCTTGATCGCCGTAGGTGTGTTGTACTGGTTAAATTTGAATTCAAAGTGAGCGTTCACGGAGTATTCTATCAGTCCTACACGTGATTTATAATATCCAATAGGTGCTTTGTTGTGGATGTAGTCAACAAGTGTCTGAAATAAATACAATTAAGAGTCAAAACTTGTTTATTACGCTCTATTTAGGTTTAAATTCTTTGTTATATACTTGTCTTTGAAGACCTGTACATTTTTCTAATACATAAAAACATCTTTGTTTAACATTTTCAGAAAAAAATCTAGTTTTTTTACCTTTGTCTTTTACTTTTAATTATTCAGAAGATACCGTTATGAAATAGAAAATAATGAAAGCAATTATTTGGGGTTTTACTCATTTTTGTCAATGTATTAATTACCTGTGCCCCTTGTTTCTCATATTCAAAATACTTCGCCTTCACGCTTCCACTACTGTCCAATAACAGTAGGAAATCTATCTTTGGCTGTGCCGGTGCAGATTTCAACCCCTTAAATCGTCTTGGCACTGCTTTGGGAGCCAGAAGACTGGATAATTTGGCGTTAATTGCAGAAGCTACGGAGTTGACATTAACTGCATCAGTTACTGTAAAAGAATTATATCGTACGGGCGTTAAATTGCTCCCGTGATTTATTCTTTATCTTATTTTGCAGGAGCAGGTAACAGACCACATATTTCCCCTATGCATCGCATACACACGTAACTTTCGGTTCAGATTAATCAGACTCCGCAATATGCCAGAGATGGAGTTTTTTAATTGGTAATTTCACCCTACTTAGTAAGTTAAGCCTAGGTCCCAACTACGTTTTGGACGCAAGGTTTTTTAGGTTCCTTGCGTCCGGCTAGGACGTAGCTAGATCGCAGGGAAGGAATCAAGTAATTGGTGAAAAGTTTCTGCGTGCTGTTTGCGTCCTCCAAAAGTCGCACGATGGACGTGCTCCTCACGCACGAACTCCCACGTTTTCCCCATTTTTTGGGCCGTAGACCACACGTAACAGCCCGTACGTTCGGTTGGGACCTAGGCTTTAGACTGCATGTGACAACATAGGTGAGGTTCTATAACCGACATATCTTTTCCGTGGTATTTTAGTGAGTTGTTAATCGCTGTGCCATAAAATATCCGCAAAATTCCGACATACAGTTTCCCATAGTAATATGTTATTTTTCGACACCCGACTCCTTTCTGCAGAAAGCCAAGTCTTTCAGCATGACACCACGTGCAAACTTTTTATACTTTAAAACCTTTATTTTTACCACGCTAACCTAAAGCCCTTTTTAATTTATACATGAACAAGTAATTGTGTTCGTAGAAAAACGTGAAAATTCACACAAAAAATATATAATCTAAAATGTACCGCCTATATCCCCTGTAAAATGTGATCAACATTAACTTTAAACTAACCTTTTGCAATTCCTGTTAAAGAGAGTAAAAATGCCAACAGTGCCACCAGCTGCATCTCAATTATTTAGTTGTAGGCCGCACTCTGTTCCTTAACAAATCGTTTTGCTGCTGTTTTAGTTTCAGTGCCCACTTTATATAGCATTTCGGTGACCGAGAGTCACATATATTTCCTCATTTTTCTTCCAATTGGATTAAATAAATAATAGTGACGTAGCGGGAAAGCGTATTGTTATGCTAATTGAAATGTCTTCACTGTAAATAGTTCTAAAGGCGATGAGGTTTTTTAGATGTTTTATTCAAAAGCTTTTGAGGAAATGAATGAGTAAGCAAGCTGTGGTGATTTACATGTAGATGTCACTTCTGTATACCTCTACACGTCTCATTGTCGAATAATTTCAATTTTGCTAAAAGCAACTTTGAAATATGCATTATTTCCTTCTCACATAAGAAATGATCGCTGCGTGTTTTGTTGTTAGTAAGTGTGGAGAGGTTATGCTTGGTTTGTTTTATTCAAGGGCTTCGAAGAAACTAAAACGTCAGCACATTTCTGTGTAATCACCTAAAATACAGAATTGAACCAATGTACTCTGCATAAAATAACGTTGTAATTTACGTGAATCTCCTTCCCATAAGAGGGCATGTTGCATGTTCCCGTTTATCATTTTTCTTTTTAAAGTAATCCATCTTTAGTTACTTATCATATTTTTGATTTACATAACCCCACCAGTCCGCCCTAGGTTTTTAAAGCTAGGCACCCGGATAACGAGCGCCACCGCGTTTGCCATTTTCAGAAGTCAAGGATACATGTATTATTATAATTACGACCATTCTAGCCGGTTTTGGTTGACTGAATGTTCCCCTTTACAGTAGCGTTAACAGTGGACTAAAGGTGAGCCATGATTTTACCTAGATACAGATTGACCGATTAGTTTGTGCGCACCAGCTAGTTCAGACACAAAAATGCTATTCATTATTGCTATGCTTGGTCATAAATCATAGTGAAAATTTTTCTAATAGTTTGTTCAGCGATGAAGTGGAACCATGAATATTCATTACTTCATAGAAAACTCACCGGGACGAACCACATTTGTCCTTGACCGTCCTGATAAACAAGTATTTCTGCTCGTTGGTTGACATTTTTCTTTAATTGGTTTATAGTAACCTGTTTGCTCTATTTGCCTCGCTGAATATATCTAACGCGTAATTCAAAATGCAAACGTTTCAAAAATCACGCACCGAAGTGCGTAAAAGCATTATTTCATCTTATTAGAACAACAGCATTCAACTTTTTATATACCTAAATAAATTAATGAAACGAACGAACCAGTATTTTGTGAGGCCCTGTTTGGGCTTCGAATAAGCTCTTCGAATCGGTTTTGATTCTTGTAAAATTTAAAGTTGAAAACATTTAATCTCACTTAGAATTACAGTTTATTTATTCACTTAATTATCAAAACAATACCCAAATTGTTCAAGAAAATTTGAAAGCATCAAATAAACAAAACGTAATGACAATCCGTTTAGATATTATTAGTTAACAGGTGTACATCATTAAATAAAGACACTCAAACGGCAAGATTAAAACACAGCCCGGTCTAAGCCATTTTATTGAAATGTGATACAAACACAGTTATACATGCATAGTTATAGCACCTTCACTTTGCACCTAACTTGTCTTGGGGAATCTCTCGTTACTACAATACTTAAAGTATAAAAATATTTCCATATTTTAATTCAGTTCACTGTTATTGAATAATATCAATTCTGTCTCAGAGAGGCTTAAATTCTATACATTTATTATACATTGAATGTGTTCAGAATAGGTATGTTTGTATCAACCAAACAAATTCCCAAGGCCACCGAAGAAACCAGGGTCCAAAGTTGGGCTTAAAGTTGGGCTTAAAGTTGGAGTATTCAAACTCAAGTAGTACGCCTTTCTAATGATATCAAAAGCTTCAGCGAACGAATCCGCAGCGAAAGTACAGCCTGGACTCGCGATGTCGCGTATCTCCTGCCAGTTAATATACGGTCCCACCGCTACGACACACACAGTTACTCCTACAGTAAAATGAAAAGAAATTGAAAGTTTAATAGAACTTAATAATATATGCATATTAGAAGGAAATTAAATGAAATCAAATATGATAAAAATAATATTACTATAAACATATTCAAACTACAGTGTAATGATAAGACATGATGTAATACTCATAAAAAAGCATATCTAAATGTTTAACCTACTCATCGCTTTCAGTTGATCAGCCGGTATCTTAGGATTCCCACCGTAATTGGATTGACCGTCAGTGAACAGCCATACAACTTTGATGTAACCAGGACGACTGTTTAGTTGCAACTCTGATTTAGCTAGTGACAGGGCGAGTGCAGTTGCCGTGCGCCCTCCTATTAAAACATGTAACAAATGGTTATAAAAAGCAAACTATATAAATGTAGTAAATGAAAAGTTCGCAAAACTGTCTTTTGAAATTATTTTGATGTAAATGAAATATGTATCTATGATATTGCTTCTGGCTGGGAAAGAGTTTGCTTGCTAACATAGTTGCCTATATCTAGTGCTACCCTCGCGCGTACACATGTAATACAAAAATCATAGTCAAAAAATTAGGAAATCTTTCACTGCATTTCTGTTTACATTTAACTACTAATTGTACTACTGCAAGCAGCATGATATTGCCTCTTTCACATAAAGTGTGACTTCTTTTCACTGTAAGTAGTAGCTAATATAACACAATTTAAAACAGTAGACGAGGGCATTTTACAAGGCACGATAGATAATTTTCTTGAGTTGGTCTTGTTAGACTTATTACTCTGATTTTTTTAAGAAGATGGGAGGGGCGCGTGTCTAGGTGCTCCCCATTTGCTCAGCCATACTGAAACCGGTGTGTGTCATGAACAACAGTCTCCTGTAAAACAGGGTGCAATTGATTTGGACTGGTAAGTCTCGTCCCACGTACATCACGCTTACCATAACCGATTTGAAACCAATACAAGAGATTTCTAGCAATCAACTTTTTATTTGATTCCTGTATAAGTAAGGTAAGAGAAGGGTAAGAGAAACAGGTACATGAGGGTAAGAGAAACAGTATTAAATTAAATGAATACAAGAAATACAATTTAACCGTAGTCATAGAGCAATGGCAGCAATCTTACCGTAATCGTACTTCACCAGTTGAATCCTGTCTTTGATCGCTGCAGGCGTGTTGTACTGGTTAAATTTGAATTCAAAGTGAGCGGACACGGAGTATTCTATCAGACCTACACGTGATTTATAATATCCGATAGGTGCTTTGTTGTGGATGTAATCCACAATTATCTGAAAAAAGGGTTAACATAATTTTTCATGTTGGGCAATATCAAATAAAATATAATGATTTTTAGACGTTTCCATTCATGATATCAAGATGTTGGCATTTTCCTCCCCCCCTGCACACACTGACGCATGACTTATTTCATTTTAATTTTATTTTTAGTAAGAGAATTCTGATTGTGCACATGAAACACGCCTTTGTGGGCCTCTGTCAGAAGAGACAAGGCTGAAGCTGCACATCTGTTTTGAAACATTAGACTCTAAGAAGATTTTCATTTACTTTAAGTTATTTTTTTCTTTGGTGTACTAGACAGCCTAATTATATAGCTAAACAGACAGAACATGCATATAGATAAATGAAACGTAATGAAATATCGATGATGAAATAGGCTATGGTCACCAAATTATTTGGATGTCTCTTATTTTTCAAGAATTTACCTTTGCTGCCTTTTTTTCAACTTCAAAGTACTCCAGCGTAATACTTCCACTACTGTCCAACACCAACAGAAAATCTATCTTTGGGGGAACTAGAATACAACGCCTATAAAAAAGGTCACCACTGCAATTCGATATGGGAGCCATGATAGTGGCTAGCTTCTGGTTCATCAATGAAGCCTGGTAATCGACATCAACCGCCTCCGAACCTGTAAAATAAGGTAATTGTAGAATTTTTGGTTTTTTCCTAAGGTAATGACGGGAATTTTCTCTGAAGCGTTTATACTGGGTACCATGTCATACCAAAGTGTAAAATCACGTAGGCCCTATTGTGTTTTTTAAGACAGCATACAGTACACTGTACTGTATACGGTCTGGAGACAACAGCACCTTTTTTGTGAAATGTAATATCTATCTGTGCTCAAAAAGTACCTTATACGAAACATGACATCGAATGAAAATGGAGACATGAAAAATTCGCTTTACTAAAGACAGAAAATCCAAAATAACGGTAATTTGTAAGGGATTTTCACGTTAAGAATTCTTTAGATTGGCTGTCGGTTGGTGCAGAAAATTCGGACGCCAGGAAAAATGTTATTTACATTTAAGCAATCTCCTAACGAAAAATAATTGAGGAGGAGAAAAGGAGAGAGAGATATATACAAAGCTAGAAAAGCTGCAGTCGCCAGGCAAAAGCTAAAGAATGGAAAAAGGGGGCGAAAATATAAAATAAAGAAATTAAAAACATGCCTAATGTTATAAACGAAGAACAAAATCAAACAAACCAAAAAAAATACTGAACTAAAAAAAAACTCACCTTTTTCAATACTGATTAAAGCAACACAGCCCACCAGCACACTAAGAAGCTGCATCTTGACTCAGTCTCCTACCTCAGTTTCTGAAAGTGTCGTTGCTGTGTTTTTGCATTATTGTTTTTATAGCATTTCGTGTGTACATGTGTACGTGCAGAACGTGACTCACACATGAATTTTTATATTTCCTCAATAAAAAATAATGACAGACGGTTAATAAATAAGACAACTTGTTCAAGGACAATACCTTTGGATGTGAGCAGGGGTGCGAGCAGGTATTCATTATGATTTGAATTTGTGAAGTATCTACTTGCTTAAAGGAAACTACACAGAATCTGCGTTAATGTAATTTGAAAACTATATACAATGAATCGTTAATGCCAAAATATTACTGATTCGTTCGGATTTAATTTAAAATTGAGCTAATAAGGATTTATCATTAAAAGTCATGTGGAACGAATTATTGGTGCGAAACATTCTAAAAACAACGTATTGTGATACTTTTCCCTTATGCCCAATGTCAAGTTACAGTAACTTCGTCAATTTATTTATTTAAAAC